TTGATGTGGTTAATCGTGCAAGCTCAATGATACTTCTAAAAGAAAAATCAATGGTTCTCTAGATTGCAATTACAGAAATTTTGTTCCCTGGTACTCCTACATGTAAGCCATAATTCAGAGTCAGCTTTTCATGATAATTATGTTAGTTAAGAAAGATTGGTTATTCAGTGTATTAGAGAGAACTGTGTTGGTACATTCTGAGCCACTTGAATTTTTGAAGTACAAAGAGGTATTAATTTGTGAGGTAGTCCAAAGCAGCTTTGTAGAAATACATGCTTGTTGTGTTATTTGCTGGCCCCTTCCTTGCTTATATAAGTGCCACTCAATTTAATTCCAATCTATTGAGTGCTTATCAAGTTAAGATCCACGTGCTGGTCTTATGAAATAAGAAGGGGCTTTTGGAAATGTTATGGAAAATGTGCAGCCTGAAAAAACTCCAAGCCTCCAAGGGATTTCACTTTTTTGCATCAACATAATCATGCTTTACTTCCACTTTTTTTTTTTTTTTCACATTTTGAAGTACTTTTGTATTTTTAGGACCTTTGTGCTCTTTTCAAGAGCCTCACAAAAACAATCCTGTGGCTTTCACAAACTATACATTAGTGTTTTGAATTTTGGCTACGCATACTCCTGAGGGAACATGAGACACTTCAGATTTCCTTACAGTATTATGGATAAAACTTTTTTTTTTTTAAGATTATTTATCTTTTTTTTTTTAATTGGAAAGGCAGATTTACAGAGAGAAGGGGAAACAGATCTTCTATCCGTTGATTTACTCCCCAAATGATTACAACAGCTAGAGTTTGGCCAATCCAAAGCCAGCAGCCAGGATTTTCTTCTGGGTCTCCCACACAGGAGCAGGATTCCATCCTCTCCTGCTCTTCCAGGCCACAAACAGAGACCTGGATGGGAAGTGGAGGGACACAAACTGGAGCCCATATGGAGTGCTGATGCTAGCAGATGGATGATTAGCCAGTTGAACCATCACACCATCCCTTGAACTAAACCGTTTTAATAGCACTTTCAAATTCTGGTGATACGACAACAACAATGGCTGCTGGCTATTCTTGGATTACATACATTTCTAGTGAGGGAGAACTGTGGCATGAAAAGTAGGTATTTTGACCCAAACCGGAATATTCTGAATTCAGATACAGAACTAAATAGTATGGGAAATGACGACAGTCTTCTATTAAGATTTTTCACCTTTTCCATTCCTGAGTGATAGCTGAAGAACACACTGCTCCTGGGGAACAGAGTCCAAGAGCTCCATAGCCCCAACCCCCAGTTGTGATCTGTATAGCTTTGGGCAAATTATTTTACCTCTATGGTTTGGGTTCTCCCGTCTGTCAAAGTGGGATGATAAACAGACAGCTGGGGAGCATAGCACGATACTCTTCTACCTGTGGCGCCAGCATCCCATATGGGTACCTGTTTGTGTCCTGACTGCTCTACTTCCCATCCAGCTCTGCTTATGGGCTGGGAAACCAGCAGAGGAAGGCTCAAGTCCCTGAGACTTGCACCTATGTGGGAGTCCCAGAAGAGGTTCCTGACTCCTGGTTCATTGCTCTGGATGGGCTCAGTTCTACCCACTGTGGTCAAGTGGGGAGTGAACCAGCAGATAGAAAACATCTTTCTCTGTTTTTTCTTCTCTCTGTAAAATCTGCTTTCAGGGCCCGGCGCAGTGGCGCAAGTGGTTAAAGGTCCTCGCCTTGCACGCCCGGGATCCCATATGGGCGCCGGTTCTAATCCCGGCAGCCCCACTTCCCTTCCAGCTCCCTGCCTGTGGCCTGGGAAAGCAGTCGAGGACGGCCCAAAGCTTTGGGAACCTGCACCCGCGTGGGAGACCCGCAAGAGGCTCCTGGCTTCGGATTGGCATAGTATCTGCCCGTTGCGCTCACTTGGGGAGTGAATCATAGGACAGAAGAGCTTCCTCTCTGTCTCTCCTCTCTGTATATCTGCCTTTCCAATAAAAAATAATAAAAATAAATCTTAAAAAAAAATCTGCTTTCAAATAAAAAATAACAAAATCTTTTTAAAAAAAGGGGGGTGGTGGGGGAAGAATGGGGAATAACAGTCCTGATTTCCACTGGCTGTTGTGATTAAATGAGTAAATATTCTTAAAGCAATTAGTATAATCACCATATAGGCCCTTGATAAGTATGAAATCCCTGTAATGAACAAGATAGGGAAGATAACTTTGCTTACAACATACTAATTTGCATTGTCAAAAGGTTTGTATTGCCACAGATTATCTTATCAACATGACTGATAGGATAACTATATGCTGATGAAGACAGCAACATGAAATAAACTAAGGTTGGAATAGCTTTAGTCCTTCCTAACTGCACTATCCAAAATTTAATTAGTATGTTCATATCAAGTTATCAAAATGCAAGTTGTCAAAATGCAGCATTAAAAGTTTACTGGCTCCAATCATAACTTCTTATTACCTTCTAGTTTTTTGCCTTTTTCCTTTTTAAAAGAAACCTCATATGAAAAAGAGACAATAATAAACACTTTCTGTATCTAGATTAATGGAATACTTTTTTTGGCACTAGATAGTATGTCAAATATTTTGTATAAATTGTTGAAGTAGGTACTTTAAAGATCCATAAGTTTATGAGCTCTTACTAACGCAAAAGATAAATGCATTTACGTAAGATTATACCCTGGTTATCTAGAGCTAAGCACTAAATGATATAGTAGTGTTATAAAAGACAGGGCAGAAGTCACTACTGGTTGTAAGGAAGTTACACGAATGAGGGAAAGGGAACTCATTGTAATCACTGCATTTTAGGACAAGCAAGGGCTTAATTTATCTTTCATGGGAATTTTTACAGGAAATTACTAGGGAAAAGATTTCAGTCAAACAAGATGTAAACCAAGACGTTACTAGTCCATACAACCAAAGCTTTGCTACAGGAGGGGTGCAGTGAAGGAAGTGCCAGGATGACAGCTACTCAGCAGGACTGCAGCCACCAGCACAGACTGGAGCGAAGAGAAGAGCAAGGAAGGAGGGCGGGCTCTGGGCGGAAATACAACTTGCAGAGTAACTGGTGTATCTAGTGCCTAACTGGCTGTCACACGGGCACTGGATCCACTTAACATTAGGAAAAATAACAAGCAGCAGGTAAAATAAATACACCACACCACTACCAACAACAAAAAGAAAAAGGTGCTTATTAACTTGATGGGGATAACCTGAACATCCTTATTAAAGTAGTGGCAGGTTGGAGAAAGGGGTAAGAGTCTTCAATCCTCATCTACACTAATTCCGAAGGAAATTCATGGTATTAAAAAAAAAAGGAACATGTGCGATCAGCACTGCGGCACAGCCAGTTAAGCTGCAGCCTGCAGTGCACACATCCCACTTGCCCACCAACGTGCAATCCAGCTGCTCCATTTCTGATCTAACGCCCTGCTAATACGCCCGAGAAAGCAGCTTAACATGGCTCAGGTCCTTGAGCCCCTGCAACCCAAGAGGGAGACCCAGAAGAAGCTCCTGGCCCCTGGCTTCAGCCTGATCTGGCATTGGTCATTGTGGCTACTTGGGAAGTGAACTGGCAAAGGGAAAATCTCCTCTTTGTAACTCTTTCGAATACATAACCCAATGTTTAGATAATAGAAATAGAGAAGTATCTTCAATTTGGAAGAATCCAAAACCACGGGAAGTGTTGTCCCTGAAAAGTATAATTTGATGAGGAGCAAACTGTGGAGGAGTCAGTAAGGGGAGCAATGTTGTTTTCCATTGTAGGCCTTGAAAAAGACATGCCAGGGACCTTTGCTTAAAATTAAAGAACTGCAGGGGAGAAAAGAAAGGCTTCGTAGAAGATTGATATAGAAGGAGCTGATGGATTACGTGATGGCAATCATTCAACCAGGGAACAAATATTTATCAAGCATCACTCTAATCACCAGAAATACAAATGGGAAAAAAGATCAAGTCCCTGCCCTCTTGGAGCTGATTACCTACTCCAGCAAACAGACAATGCACAGGAGCAGAAATCCAAACACTTCTGTTGTCTAAACAGAAAAAAAAAATCAAGATAATGCGCTAGAAAATGCCTGTGATGAGAAGACAAGGGCGGCTGCTTCACAATGGATGTAAACTCAACACCCAGTGGTCAAAGTCCAGTGGGTCCAGACACATCAGTGCTGAGCGGGATGAAGGTCTAAGACAGGGCTGGGAAGCCATCAGGGGGGCAGATCGGGTGGTGAAGGGGCCTCACTTGGAGGAGGTCTCAGGGTATTAACAATATTCCAAGCCAGAGTGTAAGCAGTGTGCTCCATAGCCTCAATAAGCATGCCAACAATGAAGGGAAAAGCTCACTGAAAAGATGATGGGGGCCTGCGTGAAAAGGCTCCGCCACGAAGCTGACGGGAAATTTTCACTGGCCATTTCTCTGAATCTGCCCTTAGGGCGTCTGCTTCTTTTGAAACATATAGTATATGACTCTGGAGTCTGTTCTGGAGAGAACCGGGGATTCGTGGGTCCCAGAAAAGTGATTTGACAACGATCCAGACCATCCTGGTATTCATCCTCACTGTATACGACACCACGGTGGCCGAGGATCTGTGCTGGAAACCTCACCATAGAGTTCTTTGCCGCACCCCGCCCTCCAGGTCCAGACTCCCAAAGGTGCTGTCCTTGCCAGCCGCGCTCACTCCGCCTCTCTCGCGGGCAAACTACAGCGCCTGGCGCCCGGTTACTGGCAGGCAATGGAGCGTGCCATCTCGCCCTGAGCCTAGGCAGCGGTCCCGGGCGCAGTGCGCACCTCTCAGATCAGGACCCTGGGCATCATGGCGGCGCACACCGCCGCCCCAGGTAAGTCGGCCGAGGAACAGAACCTAGCGGGATACCCTCGGCAAACGCTGCAGCCAGAAGATGCTGATGGGAGGCCGCGGGAGGCGGCAGAGGACACGCCCCGGGACCCTATGGCCAGCGGCAGCAGTTGGTGACTGCTTCCGAGGTCATTCCGCCGGGACGCATGGAGGCTGCGGGCTTGGCGCGCGTCCTCGGGCGCCGACCACCAGCCAGCCCAAACCTCGGAGGAAATGACTGCCCTCGTTCCTCGTACCGCGCTCCGCTGCTATTTCCTTCCGCCTTGGCTGGGCTCAAGGTTTTCAGAAGCGTGGCTGGGCTGTGGGACTGAGAGGCTCTCCAGGCCCGGCCCGCCCCTCGGCCCCTCCGCGCAGCCCCGGCCGCTGTCCAGTTCTACCGGATGGAGCCGAGGCTGCAGCCGAGCCGGTAAAGCCGGGGGGCCGGGCTGAAAGGACTGGTGGGGACACGCGGAGGGGCCGTCCCGCGTGTCCCGGGGCCCTGGCGGGGGCTGCACGCCCCGCGGGAGGAAGGGCCTGGGGCCCGCGCGCGCGCGACAGGCTGTGCCATCCCTGAACTGGGAGGGGACTGGGGGGACATTTTCGGTGTCTGCCGGCGCAATGGCCAAAGATCTCTCCCTACTTGCGGTTATGCTCTGCATTCGATCGATTTTCAGAGGCTCTGTCCTTTCTGCACCCAAATGTGCTCACAGAAATGGTTTCCCAACTCAAATGTGAGCCTTTCCACCCCTTCTCGCCTGGGGTTATGGACTCGTCCGGAGCAGGGCGGGGTCCGGCAGGCGTTGGCGGTAAAATTTAGGGTCTGAGGCGGTTCCCGCGCGTGTGCTTACCGTGCGCTCTCCTGCGCCCCTCGCTCTGCCCGCTCCGCCATGCCCTGCTCTGAAGACTTTGCGGCCACGTCCCCTAGCAAGCGGGCCCGGCCTGCGGAGGAGGGGATGCTGCGGCTGCGCTTCACCCGGCTCTCGGAGCACGCCACGGCCCCGACCCGGGGGTCTGCACGGGCCGCGGGCTACGACCTGTACAGGTGAGTGCGGGCCCCGGTCCCCACGTGCAGCCAGCGCGCGAAATCTTGTCAGTTTGTGTTGAAACGCTGGCCGCACAACCCAGGGGAACAAAACGACCCTTTTTTGCGTGTAGGTCAAATTCTTAACATTCTGTGCTGGAAATGGCCCTGGGAAGCCCTAGCCTGAGTTCCATGATTCGGGGTGAAGGGCGGGAGGGTGAGTGTGCAGGGGTGAATTGTCTGTGCAGGCGGAAAGGGAAGGAGAATGGGGTCTGCCTGGGACCTCGTGGCCCACTGCCATGCTGCCCTGAACGCACCGCCCGAGGGTTGGTGAAGGCTTCTGCCCGCCTGCAAGCATGGGTTCCGGGCACATCCACTTCTCCAGGGGTCCCACTGTGAAAAGCAGGGGTGCCAGCCATACCCTTTTAAGTGTTCAGCCCTTTACTTGTGCTAGAAACTTTTCCATTTACGATTTCTTGTTATTCTTGACTTAAATGAGTAGGCCTATTTTTTTGTTTTACACCTTTCGGAGTTTGTAAAGATAGAAGGTTATTTGTCACAGGCTTTGAATTGCACATATTTTTTTTTTACCCTGAATTTAGCGGGTTATTTGTCCCAGGCTTTGAATTGCACATTTTTTTTTTTTACCCCGAATTTAGCGAGCACATCTGGTGCAGGCCCTGCAGAAGGGAAGGAAGATGTGTATGGTGTCCCTAACAGAAACGGAAGTGTAGGGTGCCGTGCTTTCGTAATGAGTACCCAGATGGTCAGTCATTTGCCCAGATCCTTCCCAGGTGTGTGCCTGGGTACTGTTCTGAGTCCTGCAGGAGTCTTTGCTTTAATATGCTTTCAACATCCATGTAATGAATTGCGTGGCCTTCTGTACGTTGAAAGTGACCTGGAAATAACCTATCTGTTCAGTAAATCGGGTCTTAGCTGTTTAAAGAGGGGATTTAAGTGAGAGAAGCAGGCATGCAGTAATACCTTAAGAGATTTGACGGAAGTACCTTTTGCTTTGCTTGTTGCCCAATGTTTGAATTCTTGTGGAGGAGGGTGCTCCACTGAAAGCACGCAGCGGCCTCTGCCAGCTGGACCTTAGGCTCCGTTGCTTGGCAGTGGCTGTCTCCAGTGAAGTTTGGCTTCAGCTTGGAGAACTTGGTGAATTACAAGCAGAAGAAATAAAATGCATCTCTAACACTGTTCCCACCCCTCCCCCATTTTGTTCAGCCATTTTCTTTCAAAATCGGGATTTATTTGTTTTACTTTGAAAGGCAGGTTTACAGAGAAAGACAGAAAGGTCTTCCATCTACTGGTTCACTCCCCGAATGACCACAACGACTGAAACCTGATCAGGAGCCAGGAGCTTCTGGGCCTCCCACGCAGGTGCAGGGTCCCAAGGCTTTGGGCCGCCCTCTGTTCTAGGCCACAAGCAGGGAGCTGGATGGGAAGTTAATGCATGCGGATGCTTGCAGGCAGAGAGTTAATTAATTGAGTCGTCCCGCTAGCTCCTTCACCCATTTTCTTTCTGTGTGGGGTTGTTGTGGGAATATAATGGCATCTCCTGAGTGCCTGGTGTCCGCTAAATGTCTTTCCCTTGATTCTTCATTTTCCTGTGAATAAAGCGTATACTTTTTTTTTCATGCTGATAAGTACTTCAGTTGGAGTCTTCCAATGGCATTTTGTTTAGAGGTGAAGACATTTACACTGTGGAAATCTATTCCCTCCACCAAAATAAACTCATGGGGAATTATGTCTAAAGCTATCATCAGTTTAATAGTAAGCTAAAAGAAAATTTCTACTTCACAAACTGAAATGGGAAGAATCTGAAAGTAATAACAAGGTAAAATGTATGAACTATGTTAATCAAATATATTTAAAGCTATTCAGTGTGTAACAGTCACATGGAAAGAAAATAAAAACTGTTATAAATAAATACCAATTCTTCCCTTTCGATATCTTTTTAGTGCCTATGATTATACAATACCACCTATGGAAAAAGCTGTTGTGAAAACAGACATTCAAATATCTCTTCCTTCTGGGTGCTATGGAAGAGTAGGTATGTGATTTAAGGTATCGGTAATTTTGGTTAAATTCTTCCTTTGTAATAAGGTCTTTCATGTTAACTTTATTGCTAAGTACAGGGATATTGTTTTGATTGCTTCCTAAAACTCAGAAGTACCATGTGATAGCAAAAGTGTTTTGACTTGACTTCATTAACCTAACTGCTTTTTGTCTTTTTATTTCTTTGTCGCTTTTTATTATTTGGAAAGCAAACAGATGAAAAGTGCTGGTTCATGCCCCAAACGCTGTGCAGTGGTTGCCAGTGGGCCGGGTCCGATCGGGGAGCCAGGAACTGAGCCTGGGTCTTCCAGGTGGGCGGCATGGCCTGGTTACTTGAGCCTGTTGCTTCCCGGGGTGCCAGTTAGTAGGGAACTGGCCAGAAGTGGAGCTGGTGCTGGAATCCAGGCACTGCAGAAAGGATTGTGGGTGTTGGGATGGTGCCTGAATCCCTGCACCGAACGCCTGCCTTTGCTCTTCAATCTCTGATACTTCACTGGAACTTTGAAGAGGCTCCTGTTGGCTCAGGCAGTTGTCAGAATTCATGCTAATGAGAAAAACTTAAAATCTAGATGATTTTTAAATGGAAACTACTGCCAACAATACCCTTCAAGAATCAGATTTCCTAGAGATCAGATTTTGTGAAGATAGTGATGGGAGTGGCTGCTGCATGTTTAAGAAAAGAGATGAGGGCTTTAGGATAATTATAGCTGGCATTTTATGAGTGTCACAGTCCTGCACGCTTGGTTTCCCAGAGTATATCTTCCAACTGAACCTTTTTTTTTTTTTTAATCTTTGTGGTTGGGCTTAGAGATACACTAACAGATCAGTTAGACATAATGTTCTAGAATAAAATGCCTCGTTGGAAAAAGCTGGGGCGGAATGGAATGGAAATCAACAGATTTGATTTGCTTTAGCAAGTCACATGTCACCAGTGTGTTCAAAACTTTTTTTTTTTTTAGGTTTATTTATTTGAAAGGGTTCACAGAAAGTGGGAGAGAGAGATTTTCCATCTGCTGGTTCGCTCCCCCAATGGCAGGGCAGCAGCTTTACCTGCTTTGCCACAATGCTGATCTTTCAAAACCTCTTGGATCAGGGCAGAAAGAGGCAGCATTTGTGACAAATTGCCTGACTTCATGTATCCTAAAAGAAAATACTGGAAGTCAGGGTAAGTAATGGTCAGCAGATGTAAGGCACAGACTGAATGATTTTTTTTTTTTTTATGTTTTCATTTTAAGAATAAGGTAAGACTAGAGTTGAATTTTTGATGTTTTGGGCATTTTACCTTGCTAATATTTGGCCTTTTATTCTTGTTCATGTATTCAGACCACCGTGTGTTACGTCCAAGCACGTCTTCTTGCATCTGAGTCCCGAGCGCCAGTCCTAGAGCCAAGCTGTGCTGTTGCCTGGTTGGGTCTCCTTCCCGCCCTACCCCCTTCCTCGTCCCTATCTGAGCTTCCATCCTCAAGCAGCACTCTGTCCCTGCCAGCTGCAGGCTCCTGTGTTGTGTTAGTCAAGCTTCTGGCAGACCTCTCTAGACTTCCGTTACCTGCTCGCCTCTCAGTTCATTATAGACGTCCACAAATCCTCAATTCACTGGGAATTGGTTTTCAATGAAATGTCACTGAATTTTTTCTAGATTAAGCTTTTCAACCTTGGCAGTAAGAGTATAGTATGAGAATTCTTTCGTAGCCATCTGCTAAAATTAAGATGAAAATGGAGATACTGGAGGAGAGGATAGTGATTTGCTTTAAGTGTCATTAATTACGCTGTGCTGCCCTCTTAGAAAAACTGACATGTTTTGTTTTCCAGCTCCACGTTCTGGCTTGGCTGCAAAACACTTTATAGACGTAGGAGGTAATATGCATTTCCTTGTTTTATTCCATAAATATGTTTGCTTAAAAGGTGGTATATTTTCAAATGGCAGGTTTTGTTTACAAGAAAAGAAGATGAAGTATTGTTGTTTTGCCTCCGGACATTTCCATGTCAAAAGTAGTGGACAGATAGGATATAGTTTCAAATACTATCTGAGAACGTTTAATTACTAAGAGGTTAACTAGGCGCTGATAGAAGTTTTTGCTTTGGTTCAATGATAACCCTTATTTAATCCAAAAATAACTACTCTTATAGAAAACAACTTTTTTGTAGATTTATTTGAGAAATTCTATCATTTGGAACAAAATGGTTCTTCTGGAAACCGTTATGCTCAGTGAAATGGTCCAGTCCTGAAGAACAAATATCATGTTTTCTATCTGCTATAAGGCAGCTTTCATGTAAAATACAAACTCAGTAGATATATAGGTAATTATATATATATGTACATATATACACACACACACACTTACACTCATCTAGAGAATCTGTATAATGGAGGCAAGTATACCATGAAATGAAGATTGATTGCAGTTTATATCTCCACTAATGAATCAAAGATGGATTCCCAGTGAAATTATTAAATACATCTTGACAATAGAATGCTGGACTTTATACCATTGCCTATACTACTACAGTGTCATGATGCTTAAAAAAACAATGGACTTGTGACTGTTGTTGAAGGACTACACAATTCTTAGGACATAATACAGGGGAACCTGTGCAGGGGAGGGGGAAGGGACAAAAGAAAACGCCATTCCATACAAGACTTAAGAAACAGTAGAAGAAAAGATTTGAGAGAGAGCATTCCTCAGATGGTTGCAACAACCAGGGCAGGGCAAGGCGGAAGGCAAGAGCTTCTTCCCCGCCTCCTATGTAGGTGGCAGGGGCCAAAGCATTGGGGCTGCGGTCTGCTGCTTTTCCGAGGCCACCAGCTGAATCAGAAAGAAGCTGGGACATGAACTGGTTCCAGGACTATGTTGTAAGAATTTTCTGGCTCTTAATAAAGAGTTCATCCATGTTTACAAAATAAGAGTTGGAAAACACTGCTTCTTGAAGTTTTCTACTAAGAAAATCCCCAGTGGTGCCAATTTCTCTTTTAACAGAGAGTAATTACTGTTTCCCAAACTTAGCTTTTCCTCATGGCCCCTTCTTCAAGAATCGCAGGGCCTCTGCTAACCCACCACTCTTCTGCATTTCTAAGCACCTTCTCATGGTAGGACTATGTTACCTTCTTAATATGGGGCTGCCTTGCTGAAGATTACTTGTTCACATTAATGTGGCTTCCATGCCCGTCTTCTCTGTCCTCGTCGATAGGGAGAACCTTACTTAATACATCTTCCGGCCTTCAGATAACTGAGCGTGCTAGAATTTTTCTCCTACTGTCTTTGCAGTCGGTTTATTGAGACTTTAACAGATGAGGAAACTGGCTCAGAGTAGTAGGCCACGTTGATTCATCTTGGACACTGGAGACTTGGGGCTGGTGGCCATGGTGGTGCTCGGTTGTGTCCTGGCTGTTCTGAGTAAGATCCAGCTTTCTGTTACAGTTCCTGGGAGAGCAGTGCAGTATGGTGCTTGAGCACCAGCACCCACGTGTACAACGTGGAAGAAGCTACTAGCACTTCGGTTTGGCTGTTGCTGCTATCTGGGAAGTGGTCGGAGGATTAATATCCCCCATCTGACAGAGCTCTGTGTCAAATAAACCGAGCTAGAATCATCCATTTAGTGTCACTCTGCTCTTCCATACCTCTGCACTTTAGTCATGGACATTACTCTGCCCCATCCCCAGCTCTGTTCTAACACACCCATCTGAGGGTGTTGAGTAAGGTTCTGCCTGCTGATGAGAGTAAACAAGATAGAAATGGGTTGCTGGTTAAGGCTCAGTACCTCTAGTGCTGAAACCTGGCCCTCTGTCAGACCTGCTGCTGTCCCCCCTTGACGACACTAGGTGGTGCTGTGTGGTAAGAGGGAGCCCCCAGTTCTGGGCCTGAGTTTCAGATGAAAGACTTCCCCTGACAGTCCTCTCTCTGGTTGAGCTCACCGATTTTCAAAACTACATTTATCATGTCAAGTATACCCTTTTGAAGTAAAAGTTTGAGCACGTAAAAATTGCTTTTTTTTTTAAGAAAATTTCAACAAGTTGCAAAAGGATTGGGGACTTGGGAGTGACTACTGGACTTGGTTCTAGTTCTGTCACTAACTTATTAAAATTCGCTTTTCTAAGCCTCATTTTCCTCATGTGCACAATGTGGATTAGTGAACCTGTCTCTGAATGGAAGAAAGATTAAACCGTAATGCATGTAAACAATCCAACAATTCTGGGCATATATCAAACTGCAATTATGATCCCTGCCTTTTTAGGACCTCACAGGTTTTTTTAATTTATTATTATTTTTTAATGTGGAAACTTTTTTCTCAATAATTTTTAATCTGTGTAACATCCTTCTGGGAAAAAAATTCATGTAAAAGAAGTGAAAAGTCAGTTTGCCTAGTGGTTGATATGGTGCTATTCATGAAATCACACTGTGGTGTGATCTTGGGCACAGACATCTTAAAAATGTCTCTTGGGCACAGGTTTATCATAGTTGGCAACAGGCTCTGTTCCTGGGGAGAGATATTGTTGCAACTCCCAGGCTGCAAGTAGGGTCAAAGAGAAAAGATGAATATGCAGGATTCGGTTCAGAATTCACATCTGGTAGGTGTGGATGGTGTTCACAAAAGGCTTCCAACAAATGACATGCCAGAGTCTTAACACAGTGAAACTCTTACCTGAAGCCAGTTAATCACTCTGCCAGTTCCAGTGCAGGATTTTTCCAGTGATAACTTCAAGATACTTCCAGCTTTTTCAAGAAGAAAATATTTCTGGTGTTTAAATTCTGTATGCAAAGAAAGAATGTCTTTAGGTTTTTTGACAGTTGGGTGATTTGGGTTTTTCTACCATTGGCATTCAGGCTAAAAGAACATCATGAGGTTTTTTTTTTTTTTCTTTTGCCATGCATTTTCATTGACTTCATATGACTTCATTTCTTTTAATCAGTTAAAGGCTTTTCATGTTTTTGTATCCTAAGCATAAAATCTTAGCTTGAGTATTCCTGATAAAGTGTTGTGCAGAGAACTTTATAAAAAGGAAGTCTGTGTACCATTAAGTTAAAAAATATGCGCATCTTTGCAATTCATATGAAAAAGGACAATGAAAAAAATCATAATGTGTTTAAGAGCACATGCAAAGGTCTAATAAACAGGTAGTAAAAAGCATTGTCACTAGTTCAGGAAATGCAAGCAAAATAGAGATATCATTTTTTTTTATTCTACATATTTGCCAGAATTTAAAAGATTACTACCATCTGGTGTTAGTATTGGAAATGAACATTCTTAAGTATTGCTATTGGAAATTTGAATGTATCTTTTTTGCGATGTATTTAGCAATAGGCTTCAAAATTGAAAATATACCCTTTCATCCAGGAGAGTGTCTTTTGGTATTTGCTTGACAAGAATGAAAAGGATAAAGGTATGTGTACAAGGATTTGTGTGAAGGACTGCCTTGTTTATTTCTGGCAGTAAAGTGTGGAAGCAAGCTGGGGTTATCTAAGAGTCAATCCGATTCGTATATATTCATCTCAGATGATGTCTGTGATGCTTTATGCTTGTAAAAATCTCTTCTTGGAGAGGTACAGGGCTCCCAGATGCTGCTATGTCATCAAACACCTGTGAGATCCTCAAGTGGGCGGGGCTTGAAGATGGTGTCCTGGAACTTAATCTGGGTCTCCTAGATGGGTGACAAGAACCCAAGCACTTGAGCCGTCACCTGCTGTCTTCCAGACACTGCATCAGCAGTGAGTGAGCTGGAGGCAGGAGTAGAGCTGGAACTCAAACACAGGCACAGGAATGTGGGTTGCCCAAGTGCAAAGCAGACCTGCACGGCCGGCCACGCGTGCTCCTGTGACGTTCTCAGTGGAAAGAAGTAATGTGTTACGTACATCACTGTAATTTTGGCTAACTCAGGGTGATAGAGCAAATATTACTAGCTTTTACTCTATGTGTATAATTCATAATATTTCTGGGGTAACTAATATTTTTCTGATAAAGACCCAAAACATCAGAAGTTGGTCAGTCTACATTGTCTTTCTCAGACTCAGTTTTCTCCATATAGATAATATGGAAAACAGCTGGTCCCATCTTATTTTTCATAATAAGGATAAATTAGTGGACAGATGGCAGTGGAAAAAAAAAATAAAGATTCTTGAAGCTGACTTAAGTTTTTTTGCTGTACAACAAGAATTTCATTCCAGATTCGGAGATGAACTGTCTTTGCTGCTCTTCATCCCACTTCCAGATTTATCCTGTTTCTTCGCTGTTAAAAATTTATGTACCTTTAATCTACACTCATAAAATTATTGGCATCAGGAATCTTAGTCCTTAAATTCGGCTTTACTTGCTTCTGGTAGTTTGTTCCTATGGGTCCTGTGCACCTGTGCAAACTAAGGCAAAGAATTCATATGCATAACAAAAATTGGGAGTCACGGTGGTCACTCAGCCACTAAGAAACAGAAACTTCTTTTTAGAGTGGTGAAATTGTTCTAAAGTTGGTTGTGATTTTTCACAACTTGAAATATGCTATAACCCACTGACTTGTACATTTTAAATAATACGTGCATTGGGCTCCAGCATGAGGAAGAGAAATGAGAAGGTTTATTACACTTAATTTGTTTGTAACCAGGTTTTAAGGAAACATTTAAACTCTTGGGCCAAAGTTGAATGCCAGTAGGTCTGGTAAAATGTAGCTGTCTGGGCTATTGCAGTGAGCTGGCTGCTCAGGTCTCCCCTGCAAAAAGGCATCTGTGTTTACAATACAAGCAGATACCAGTGACATGTGAGTGTGTTCTCATTACTAAACTCGCATGCTAGTATCTTGTGACTCGATCATGCTTTAAGAATGAACAGCTTTTCCATTTAAAAACAGAAGAAGGATATGAACAAAAATGAAGTATTCAGATATTTGCAAGGCTGCTGTTTAAGTGTGTCAGCACTACAGATCCTCAGACTTTGACATTTTTATTTATGATTGTCATATTTCAATCTGGATATTAGAAGAAAACTTCTACCAGGAAAAACTTTAAAACACAAATCATCATTTTCTCCTAGTCTTTTTGGCAAGTATGTGGTGGGTAAACAGTAGATTGGAAATGGTAATCACTGCCCTCAGCTTGAAGTGAATGCTCACCAGCTTTAGCTAAGAGTGGGAGGTTATGAGATTCAGGCCTATTTTCCAAATTCATTTTTCTAGTTATAATGTGTCTTAGTTCAAGGCTTTACATAGCACAGTCACATTCACTTACTTAGTTGCAGTCATAGAAATCTCAGTGTTATATAGGAATGTTTTTGAGAAAATCTTACAAAAATAATCTGTATTTTTTTCCTGCAGCTGGTGTCATAGATGAAGATTATAGAGGAAATGTTGGTGTTGTATTGTTCAATTTTGGCAAAGAAAAGTTTGAAGGTATGTTAAATGTGAATTTTCTGAGTTCTGCATATGTGAATAACAGAATGTTCAAATTCTCATTGAAAAAAGCTGGCTAGAAAATTCAACAGCAAAATATCAGTAACGTTTTGCTTGTTTTTCTTTGAAGTGAAAAAGGGTGACAGGATTGCACAGCTCATTTGTGAACGGATTTTTTATCCAGAAATAGAAGAAGTTAAAGTAAGTATAAAAGCTGAGTAGATATTGAATGATAATATATCATATTAAGTTAAGAAATAGAATTTTGATGATTCAATTTGCTGTCTGTAGACAGATAATACATGACCAATTCTAAGGAAAATTAAAAATTTGGTTTTAGATTCTTGAAATATTTTTTTAGGTAGTTATTATGTGAGATTGTTTTGGATGATAAATTGAATACACTGTGCTATTCTATTATGTCCCTAGCCTTTTTTTTTTAATTGAGCTTTAAACTTTTTGCTTTGTTTTGTTTTGTTTTTGTTTTTTTTTTTTGTTGTTGTTGTTTTTAAGATTTATTTGCTTTTATTGGAAAGTCAGATATATAGAGAGGAGGAGAGACAGAGAGGAAGATTTTCTGTCCAATAATTCACTCCCCAACTCTCTGCAGTGGCTGGAGCTGAGCTGATCAGAAGCCAGGAGCCTCCTCTGGGTCTCTGGCGTGAGTGCGGGGTCCAAGGCTTTGGGCCATTCTTTGACTGCTTTCCCAGGTCACAAGCAGGGAGCTGGATGGGAAGTGAGTCCACCAGGGTTAGAACCACTGCCCATATGGGATCCTGGTGTGTGCAAGGCGAGGACCCCAGCCAATAGGCTACTGTACCATGCCTTGTTTTTTGTTTTTGTAAAATTTTTAAATTTCTTTTTATTTGAGAGGCACAGTTACAGAGAACTCATCCATCTGCTAATTCACTCCCCAAATGGCCACAATGAAGCCAAGAGCTTCCAGGTCTCCCACGGGTGCAGGGTCCCAAGGATCTGGACCATCCTTCACTACATTCTCAAGCCACAAACAGGGAGCTGGATCAGGAGTGGACTAGCCAGTACACAGACTGGCACCCCTGTGGATGCTGCCAATTTTCTTTCTTTTCTTTTTTTTTTTTATTTGAAATCTCTGCTAAAAAGATATAAAAAGAATAAAAGTCTTCCAATTGAGATGAAGGAAGAACTGAAGAAACGTGAAGTTAGATGTGTGGCTTACCACCTTCCTCTCTTTCAGGCCTTGGATGACACTGAAAGGGGCTCCGGAGGTTTTGGTTCCACTGGGAAGAATTAAGATTTATGCCAAGAACAGAAAATGAAAAGACATGCTTTTCTTAGAGAGAATTTTTCTTTAATGTGTTAGAATTTTGCACTTCTGTAAACTTAATGGCTTTAGCTTCTAGAATTATCTCCTTTGCTTTTGAACAAGGAAAACATCTTTGGTACAAAGTTACTTCCCTATTTTTTTCTGCAGTTGATGATTGTATGTAAATCTGTTGTGACTTCAAAGTGAAATGTGTATCAATTTCAGATTTTAAAGTGGTACTGTATTGTTTAATTCAATAAAGGATACCTCGCCAGCAATTTTTAAATAATTGCTTTATGAAACATTTGGTATGTTTTTTTTATTAATACACTTGAATTCTTTCATAGATACAAATTATTGAGTAAATTGAGAGAAAAGTTATATCTTGTTCTTCCTTTTGCTTTATTATTCTAAGAATGCTTTTAATCTTAAGACTCTTTTATAAATTCCCCAGTTTGAGCCTGACATAATGTCTCAGTGGTTAAATCCTCACCTTGCAAGCACCAGTGTCTCATATCAGCCTTGGTTCGTGTCCTGAATGCTCTGCTTCCCATCCAGCTCCTTATCTGTGGCCTAGGAAAGCAGTCGAGGCTGGCCCAAATCCTTGGGACCCTACATCCACATGGGAGATTGTAAGAAGCTTCTGATTCCTGGCTTTGGATTGGCATAGCTCTGGCTGCTGTGACCATTAAGGGAGTGAACTAGCAGATGGAAGATCTTTCTGTCTCTCCTCTCTGTATGAATCTGACTTTCTTATATTATTAAATAAATAAATATGATGTGCCTTTCCAACAAAAGATAAATCTGATAAATCTTTAAAAAGTTTTTTTTTTTTTTTTTTAATTTTCCTTTTGATATGTCCTATATAAGGTATTGGATGTTAGTGAAAGTACTCCATGTACCTTGGGAATTTTCATTTATTCCTGAATTTTATGCTCTTATGCAAATTGGATTAACTATCATTCACAAATTTCTCCTTGCTTAAGAGGCAAAAATAGGCCATATGCAAGGAAAAACTAAAATAAATGTATCAATGAGTGCTTGGAACATCGGGTTTTTCCATCACTAGTATGTGCTTGAGTAAATAAACAGCACTTCATGGAACACTTGGAGGTGATTCTGTGCATTACCTTGATTAAAATCTGTGGCAGCTCTGCTGGTGTGTTACGCTTTTTTTTAAAAAAAAAAAAACATACACTTTCGGGCCCTGCACGATGGCACAGTGGTTAAAGTCCTTGCCTTGCACGCCCGGGATCCCATATGGGCGCCGGTTCTAATCCCGGAAGCTCTGCTTCCCATCCAGCTCCCTGCCTGTGGCCTGGGAAAGCAGTCGAGGACGGCCCAAAGCTTTGGGACCCTGCACCCGCGTGGGAGACCCGGAAGAGGCACCTGGCTTCGGACTGGCATAGTATTGGCCCGTTGCGCTCACTTGGGGAGTGAAATCAGACGAAAGATCTTCCTCTCTGTCTCTCCTCTCTGTATATCTGCCTTTCCAATAAAAATAAAATCTTTTTTAAAAAAATACACTTTTGATGATTACATAGTTGAGAGGGATGCATGCCCAAGTGGTTCACCAGTTAGAGTGGGGAGGGTTGAGGAATGGGGGATAGTGGATGAGACAACTGCCTCCAATCTCCCTTTGTCTTGTATCTGTGGAAAGTGAAGGGAGAAGGCTGCTCCCAGCAGCCCAGCCACATCAGTGTCCAGGATTGGCAGAGGGCCTCCCAATGTCATCCCAGAGTCTCCAAAATGAATCATGTTTCGAGGGTAGTGCTTACAAAGTGGTTTTGACAGTTTAAGATGCTGTTGGTTTTGTTACTCCAAGGTCCATTTGCTGACATAGTCCACCTTAGAATCTTGATTTTCCCAGATACTCGCTGTCAAAGCTTGGTCAGGAAAGCTGTCCAATTTGTTCTGCCCTCCATGGTTTCTAGACTTCGTCTGCAGGCTTCAATGAACTGGAAGTTATGTCCCCAGGGAGCGTCTGGGCATGCTGTCCACTACAGGCCTCAGGAACCATGGAGACCCAGTTCCAACACGTGAACTCCACAGTCAACCACAGATCTTTGTGATTTTCACTGTGGTTGGAGTTTTGAGTCCAGTAATCTAGTTGGGGGGGAATTTCCAACCTGAATCCTGTGTATGCCAGCCTGTGTGGGATCCAGTTCAGTCTATCACCCACATAAGCCTACGTATACACAATGGTGATTGAAGTCACCTGGTCAGTTCTACCTCCAGCCCCAACACAAACCACTAGATGCTGTAGCCTAACCCTGCCCACCACACAGTTGGCCCTCACACACGCTAGCATGAACTGGCAGCCTAGTCAGAGGGATACCCAGGAACTTCCACCAGGCCCAGCTCCTGCACATGCCAGTGTGTGCAGCAGACTGGTCTGGTCTGTCCTGCATCCCTTTCAGCTCTTGTATACCTCAGTGGGTGTTGGAGACTAGCTCAGCCCAACCGATCCCACTATCCGGCCCCACGCTCCGGCCAGTGGGTACCACCACCTGTCTAGCCTTGCCTGTCCCCAGCCCTGGTTCTCAGCTCACCAGTGGGAGTTGCAGCCCATCTGAGAGGCCCACAGTTTTCCTACTAGGCCCACTCCCAGCCCCTAATCTTGCACTCTCCAGGTAATTTTATGGTGTAGCCTGATAGGATTTTGCCCAAGCATCTGCCAGCTGATGCTCTGGCACAGTGCAACCAGCCTGTACTGGCTCTTGTGTACACCAGTGGATATGGTTCTCTTCTGCCACACGAGGACACTGTAGTGAGGCATTTGTCTCGAATCAAAGGCCAAACCTGATGGAGTCTTGATCTTCCGCTTCTCAGGCTCTAAACTATGAGAAGTGTTTCTGCGCTTTACAAAGAATCCAAGCTTTGACACTTGACGCAGCACACAATGGACCAAGGTAGTGGTGATCGTTAGCTAAAATATGTGAATTACTAAATAGCCTATTTCCCTCATCTATAAAATCAATGTTGTATGTATTCCCACAGTTAGAATATAAGAAATGAACTGTTGTAAGTGCTTCTCAGACTTTTCTGTAGGTGGTAATTAGCATTTTTATTGCTGAGTTATGATTCTCTGTCTTAATAGCCATGTAACACTGCATTTGTTCAACTGCTTGCTTCCAGGTATTGGTCAGGGTTCTGTTGCACAGAATAGAATTCATGGGCTAGTTTAATAGGACAGGATTTATCTAAATTTGGTTGACTAACCAAAGAATCCCTACCATGTGTGTGGTGGAATGGGGTGGTTAGGAAAAGTCCCCTTGCATGTGACAGGTATTCAATTTTAAAGATTCAAAGGGAGGTATCCTTGTCATTGACTTGAGGGACTAAGACCATAACATGCAATTTAATCTAGAGAAAGGTGGTAACATAGGGGGAGACGCAGAACTTTCCTAAAACTTATGAAGTGAAATAAAAGCAAAATATAATAAAATCCATGTGGGAGAATATGAGCAGAATGATTTGATCTGGGTTTATTGGAAACGGATCTGTTTATGTCAAATCTGAATATTGTGAAATACTTTAGTTTGTGAACTGCAAAATTTGGGGGAAAGTGTGTAAGAAATCAAAGTACTGTATAGCGAGTAACTATGAAATAGCAACATCTAAATAACTATTACTACAGTGACGCTGCAGAGATGTGCCCGTTGCCAGGAGCACCTTCCCACGCCTCTGCCAGAAGCAACCATTCTTTTGACATGTAAGCAATATTTTCTTTTCTGCATTTGCCACGTTCCTAGACTTATGTTTCACGTTGTCTGGTTTTGAATATCAAAGAAGAGATGTAGGAAGTGGAATCATGAATTCTGAAGTCTTGCTTCTTCTCAATTTCACTCATATTTCATGTGTCTGCAATTTGTTCTGTTATTATGCTTCTTGATATTAATGAACCACAACTGGACATGTCCTGGCATAAGCCTGATTTGGTCATGACGTATGAGGGTATCTTCAAAAAGTTCATGGAAAAGTGCATATTATGAAATACCCGCGCAAGGATGTCAGCCTTTTACACCAAAATACCCCTTTAAACCCATTGTTCCATGAACTTTTTAGTGCACTCAGTATTTTTTATTGCAAGTTATGTTCCTGAGAGATTTAGGCCTAATTTTTCTATTTAAAATTCTGCTGCTGTCATAAAGTGAATTGCGTATTTGCTCTTATATGCTCCACTCCCTTTTATTGTTCTATTTTTGTCCTCTTCCTTCCAGCCCTTGCACAGTCAGGAAGCAGTTGTTTATCACCCCTTGAAGACTATCTGCCCTTTCCTCACTCCGGTTAATTTTAGAGTGTGTCTTTGGCTTCACCCAGCTGCACTATTAGGGTATAGGTTATTTCTCTTTTGGGTATTCGCTGACTCTCCTTATTTCTGCATTCATATCTTTCCTTAGCTCTAGAGAATGAGAGCTGTTTTCTCAATTTTTTTTTTTTTAAGATTTGTTTCATTTTTACTGGGAAGTCAGATATACAGAGAGGAGGAGAGACAGAGAGGACGATCTTATGTTTGATGATTCACTCCCCAAGTGCCGCAATGGCCGGAGCTGTGCTTATCCGAAGCCAGGAACCTGGAACCTCTTCCAGGTCTCCCACACAGTGCAAGGTCCCGAGACTTTTGGTCGTCTGCTTTTCCAGGCCACAAGCAGGGAGCTGGATGGGAAATGAGGCCTGCTGAGATTAGAACCAGCGCCCATATGGGATCCTGGTACGTGCAAAGTGAGGACTTTAGCTGCTGGGCTACTGCATTAGGCCCTCTCACATATTTTAATGTAGTGTTATAAAATGCCCACATTCCTTATCAGAATGTGGCTTTGAGTCCTAGCTCCTCTGCTTCTGATCTGGTTTCCTGCTAATGTGCCTGAGAAGATAGCATATGTTGGCCTTTGGGTTGCTGCCACGTGTATGTAAGACCTGACCTTGTCCTGGCCCGGCCCCAGCTGTTGCAGGCATCTGGGGAGAGAACTAATGAATGGAAGGCTTCTCTCCAATCTCTCCCACTACTTTTTAGACAAATAAATGAAAAATTGTAAAGACACATGTTTTAAACGTTTAGGCTTACAGCAAATCTTTAGCTTTACCTTCTCAGGAAGGTACAGATCTTCCACATTGACACGTGCCCTGCTCTGACCCACGCAGAGGGCGTGTCGTCAACATCCCCGACTGGAGTGCACATCTCTTACAGTTGATGAGCCTCCGTCAGATACAACATCATTATACCCGGAGGTTCAACTTGGTGTTGAACATTCAAACATCACTTGAATATTTATCC